GATATCCGCCCACTAGTTGGCCCTACTGAAGGTGATGGGGACCTCGGACCAGGGGCGATAGATGGGGTTGGCAACGGCGTCTTCTGCGTTGACGGTGAGCACCCGATGGGCGGCGAGCTTTCGTTCTCTTCTGCTCTCGGTGGAGGCGAGGCCCCCGAAGATGGTGGCAACCACCTTGTCATGATCCTAGAAGGCATTGTTGTTGCCCCCAGGTGGTCGGCGGCCTCCGGCTCCATCGTTGCCGTTGTCATCCAGCATTTTGGCCTAGAACTCCTTAGCCAAGCTGAGGCAGTCCTTCATCTTATGCTTGGCATTCTTGTGGAGACGGCATGGGCCATCGAGGATCTTCTTGTTTGCTCATCGTACTTGTGCTTGGCGCGAGGTTCGTCAATGGCGGCGATGATGTGGTCTGGCTGGCGGCGGCGATATTGACTAGACTTGGATCCTTCTGGCCGATCACGGCCGCTGCCTCGATGATGACTGCAGTCGTCATAGCGGCGATCGCTGTGGCGCCGGTCGTCGGGGCGATCGTCGCTGCGATGAGTTGGGCGATGAGTGTCCGCATCCTCGTTGAAGCGCACCTCGGCTTCCTCGGCGTCGGCATACTGGTTGGCGGTCGTGATCATCTCGCCAATCCCTGTGGGCGGCTTGCAGTTGAACTTAGAGCGAAGCTCACGGTGATGGAGTCCTCGGATGAAGGCGGTGATGACCTCAGCTTCCGTGATGTTGGGAATAGAATTCCTCATCTCGGAAAAGCGTTTGATGTAGCTACGGAGGAGCTCGGATGGCTTCTGGTAGATGCGGCTCGGATCATGCTTGGTGCCCGGCCGAGTACATGTTGCCATATAGTTGTCAGTGAAGACTTTTTACATCTCTTCCCAGGATTTGATGGAGTCCGGGGCAAGGTTTGTGAACCAGTTCATGGCGGTTGGCGTGAGCATTACGGGAAGATAATTTGCCATGACACTGGTATCTCCTCTAGCGGCACGCACAGCAGTGGCGTAAGCCTGTAGCCATTGTGTGGGGTTCATCCTTCCCTCATAGGGCTTGACCCAGGTGATTTTGAAACCACGGGGCCACTAGAGTGTTCAGAGTGCCCTCGTGAAAGCTGGAGGCCCTTCGGGGTTGTCGGCACCGTGATCTGCAGCGTTGCTGACGTTGAGCGGCTCAAGAGCTGAGTCCGGGTTACCGTACTCTTGCTCGTACTCCTGGCGGTGGCGTACTTCTTCTTCATGGCGACCGAAGCGGCGTTCGTCGATACATCATCGCACATCTCAGAGATTGTTGAGGTGCACTCAGATGTCCTAGTCATGTTGGCGGTGATGTTCGATGCGGTTGCCCCTAGCTCCCCCATGGAGGGGTTGCCTGTCGTCGCGGTGCTGGTCGATGAAGCGACTTTGGGTGACGATCGGATCTTGGCGCGACTGATCGGTGAATTGAGCTTATGGAGTATGAAGGCCTCTGATCCTAGCGGATCTCGTTGACCTGGCAATGTGCCACTTTAAGCATGGCGGCGACCTTGGCGACCTCTGGTGTCTGCGGGAGCTGGGCGAGCTCATTGGCGGCCACTGCCAAGTTGGCGCTTGGAGTCTTGTAGACGTTGTGGCCATCAATATGGACAAACTCGTCGTCGAGGTTGCGATGGAGTGGCCTTCCTTGCGAGTCAAGCTGAGCCTCGACCATTGCAAGGGCAGCCTCGTTTGCTCAGCGCTGCGCATGGTTGACGTGGGCGACGCAGTCCTCCTCGGTCTCCCCTTCCCACGGGGGGCTGTCGACGCTGACGTTGAAGATTGCGCCCCCACGGAAAGGAGGGAGAGGAAGTTGCTCGGTGGTGGTTTCGGTGAGAGTCTCCGTAGAGCCCTAGGACTCAGAGTCTGGATTCTCCTCTGGGATGGCCTGGAGGGATGCTCTGGAGCATCGGCCAATGTGTAGCATGTTGACAGTCGGCGGGAGCTGGTCGGCAATCTGGTCGGCGAGAGGATGGACATCTCCAACCTGGTCGGTGAATTTGCCCCTTACGGCATCTTGGTAGGTGGCGACGACGTTGGTGAGCCCGAAGGGCAGGGCCGTAACCGCTGGAGTTTCCTGAGCAGCCTCTGATAGATCTAGATCGAAGAGTGGTCGGCGCTGAACGAGAGTGTCTGGAGCCGATTCGGCGATGGAGAGGCAATCGGCGAGCTTCTGACCAACCTGATCGATGGATGCGATTAGATCGTCGTTGTTGACTTGCCTCCTCTGGTAGCGAGGAAGCGGGCGGCGAGTTGTCGATGAAGGCGACCTCGGAGGCGGTTCCGAGATCGGATCTGCAGTCACAAGTGTTGGGGTGATCGGCGCAGAATCGATCTGCACCGGCTCGATGAGCTTTCTGACTCCGTCAGCGTTGATGATCCACGAGATCGATCCGACCGTGAAGATCTGGCCGGGCTACAGGAGGGACGAAGAGCCTGCGGAACGTACCATCTTGTTCGATATAGAAACAACACGCACACCCCTACCTGGCGCGTCAACTGTCGACAAAATATCGTCGGCAGTCCTCTGAGGGGTATCCCACGAAGGTAGATTGATCGGCAGAGAGGCGTGTAATCAAGAACAAGAAGGCAACAGAGACGCACGAGTGAGACAGGTTCAGGCCGTCAGTATGACGTAATACCCTACTCATGTGGTCTGTTGGATTGTATTGGTTATCGTATGATATTGCGTGTGTTTGGAGGGGGTCCCTGCCCGCCTTTTATAGTCCGGAGGGCAGGGTTACAAGTCGGTTAGATCTGAGAGATAACCGGAAAGTAATAACAGATTACAGGAATCATGGGATCATACGTATCCTAACAGATCTCGTAGTATCTTTAGGATATCTTTCCGGTGTCTTGCGGGAGACGCCGAGCAGCATCGTGCCCTGCAAGACTTCGTCTGGTGGGCTGGGCCGCCCCTAGGGGCGCAGCCCATGTGGTCTGCCGTGGGTATCCGGGGTCGTACCCCCTACATGAGATATACGCACTAGCAAAGGAACTCGAGCAATTTCCATGTGTGTTGCCTAACAAGGAACTCAAGCAATTTCTATGTGTGTTGCCTGACAAGTTTGTGGCTTGTAGTTTCATGTGAACAAATTCTAATAAGATAAGTTTTACTTTTAATCAAAATGTATCAACAATTTGATAGTAATAATCTTTATTTTAAGATAGAGGAAATTAAGCATAAAGTTTTCAAACACCCATTATGATTGCTTTTATTCATTTTTTTAAATATCTATGGAAACAAACCTAAAATCATGAAGTTGGAATACCGGTCTGACAAAAAAATATAGAACTCGGAAGGAACCGAACGCTGGGATGAACCCAAAACAAATCCTCCTGCTGACGCTAGGATGGACAGAAAAAAGAGTGCTAAAAACGCTCATGTTCATGCGTTATAATGGAAGAAAAAACTATCAAATATTCATGAGAAACGATGATGAGAGAATGGTACCTAATATCCGTGTTTCTATTTTTTCCTGTTCGTGAGCCCATTTGTCCACTCAGGTAGTTTTTTTCCTCATAATAAATAAACATAAGAATAGTAAATATAGCATTATGGGCCTTTTAACTATTGGCTCTTTTCTAAGAAAAAATTCACCACCAAATTATTCGTGTAGTTTTGAAATTTGATTGGTAATAAATTTGTCGTTGTTGGTTGACCTGTGGGCTTCTTTTTTTAACATAAATAAAAGAGCTCTAGTTATTGAAACGTCAATATATACATGATAATTGTTCATTTAGACAATGGAAACCACTTTAATCTACGGACACGAAAAAGAGGAAAACAATTTGAATTAGGATTCATATTCAGGGAACTCTGAAACCTTGGATGTAAGTATGTTTCATAATATTAAATAGGATTATAGGAGTCTATTTGAATTTGAATTAGGATTTCTAGCTATTCAGACTACCTCAAGAAGCCCTTCAAATAGGAGAGTTGTAGACACACACAAAGAGAGACAATTTCATGAGAGTTATAGACAAAGAGACAATTTCCACATTCACGAAATTAGTTAGGGGAAGATGACTAAAAAATTAGGGAAAATTTTAGCTCTTAATATTAGATATGGATAATTGAAATTAATAATCAGCGCAAAAGACTTTTTTGAAATCAAATTCTTAATCATCTTATAGAAGGAAATGGAGGGATAGGAGTACCTGAGTTAGAATATGATGAGCAAATTACCATATCAAATAAAACAATTTTGATCTTCTATGGGCCTAGAATTTGTAATATAATATTTATATTTCTCTAAATTAACTATTGGCTCTTTTCTAAGAAAAAAATTTCACCACCAAATTATTCATGTAGTTTTGAATTTTGATTGGTAAATAAAATTTGTTGCTGGTTGACCTGTGGTAAATAAATAAAAGAGCTCTAGTTATTGAAACGTCCATATATGCTGGATAATTGTTCAATTGGACAATGGAAACCGCTTTAATCTACAGACACGAAAAAGAGGAAAACTATTTGAATTAGGATTCCTATTCAGGGAACTCAGCATGTTTCATAAGATTACATGAGTCTATTTGAATTAGAATTAGGATTTCTGGCTATTCGGGTTACCTAAAAAACCCTTCATATATGTTAAATAGGAGAGTTGTAGACAAACACCAAGAGAGACAATTCCAGGAGAGTTGTAGACAAACATAAAAAGAGATAATTTCCACATTCACGAAGTTACTCAGAAAAACGACAAAAAAATAGGGGAAAATTTTTAGTTGTTAATTAGGTATAGATAAGTGAAATTAATGCAAAAGACTTTTTTGAAATAAAATCTTTAAACATCTTATAGAAGGAAATGTAGGGATCGGAGTACTGAGTTAGAATATAAGCAAATTACCATATCAAATAAAACAATTTTGATCTTCTATGGGCCTAGAATTTGTAATATAATATTTATATTTCTCGAAATTAACAGTGCATGCAATGGACTATTGTTGTACTTACTACAGAATATATAAGCGTGGAAAAAGACAAACCCATGATCAAACCCTTCGCCTGGAGTTCTTGGCAACATGTCCAGGCTCGCCACGGTTCCTGCGCCCCGTGCTCTGCTCCGGCTTTGGACCGTCGGAGCAGCAGCCCTCCGCTTCGTCAGCCATTGCCGTCGTCGTCCTCCAGAGACGTTCCGGTCCTGCACCACTGGCCACGACACGGCGGGCGACGTCCCAGACCAAGCTCATGGTCATCTCGTTGTCAGGACCAGAACGCATGACGACGGCGTCGCTGACGACCTCCGGGAGCCTCCTGCAGAGCTCGTAGGCGACGAAGCCATCCGGGAGCCGCGCGGCGAAGCCCAGGGCCTCCGCGTGCGCGATCTGCTCCAGGAGCACGCCCCCGGCGCCTTCCTCGAACTCGAACGCGTCGAACTTGTCCCGCCAGACGCGGGGCGTGTCCACGTGGTAGGTGCGCGCCAGGGCGCGCCACAGGTCCGCCGCGGTGGCGAAGCGCTGGTAGTCCGGGAGCAGGCGGTCGGAGAGCGTGGCGAGGATGTGACCGCGGCACACCGCGTCGTCGCGTGCCCATTTCTTGGCCGCCGCCTGCGCCGCGAAGTCGTCGCCGGATCCGGCGTCGCCGTCGCCGGTGGGGCGGTCCTCGAAGAGCACACGGGCGACGCCGAGGGTGTGGACGCGGAGGAGCACCGATTCCTTCCACCGTAGGTAGCCGCAGGGGCCGTCCAACTGCTTGATGGGGACCAATGCCATCGATCGGAGAGCCAGAGAATTGATTTCTTGGTCTCGCGGTGATGTTTCTGTTGATTCGTACTGTAATGTTTGTGCATTTATTCCATGGCAGCGGAGCAGGCCGGCCACGAAGACGGAAGACGAGGTGATGGCCAACGACTCCTGGTTTCTAGCCTCAGCGTGCGCAATACCCAGTGAATGCTTCAGCAGGCAGTTCATCTTTCGTCGCCAAAACTTGCGGGCATGCAGTATCACCTTCGTCAGTACGACAAGCGGCAAACATGCAGGGCATTTGCCGTTCGTGCCTTCTTCAAAACTCTCCGGCTCCACTTTTTTCACTGAAAAATGGCTCTACTAAACCGTCTGGTAGAAATTGAAGACACAACAAGTGACCAACTAATCTTTTCTCAATCCCTCGATGCCCGATCGACTCACTAATCTTGTTGCCGCCGCCGCCGTTGGATCCTGCAATGCCTGGACAAAGATATCTCTCGCGCACCACCCACTGACCCACCCATGAATTAATAAGAGAGAATTACACTAGCGGTCCCTGAACTATTCCTACGCTCTCATCTATGTCCCAAGACTCCAAATTTGCACGTCGGGCTCTCTGAACTTTTAAAGTTATCTCATCCCGGTCCAAATCTTCCATGGGACACCACTCCATCCTTCGTGGTGTGCCACGGTGCCAGCAGCCGCACGACCCACGCCTCATTTTTGCAAAGAAGACCCTGGGATACTTCCAATCCTCATTTCGTCATCCTTCTCTTCTCCCCACTCGATCTCGTCCCCGACCGCCGGCAGCGAGAACGGTGAAACCCTAGGCTAGCACACATCCTTCTCACCCCGTCCATCCGCCTTGAGTACCTCGCGAACCCATCTCAGTTAGCCGTCGCCCTTAATTCCGGAGGGATGGCGGCTGAATTGGGCTCGGCGACGGCAAGTGCGCGCAGGGCATCGGGCAACCCACCATTGATCACCTGTCCAGACTAAAACTGCCGACATGTATTGGAGTTGAAATCGAATCAGCCGTGATCTAAAGGTCAGACCTTCTATACCTGCCCAAATCATGAGTCAATGTTTGTTGATGTGATGTTGGCTTGAGCAATATGTAGAAGGATGGATCTGGTTGCCCATTTTTTCAATAGTAGGAAAGCTATATCCAGTATATGAAGACTTATGCTGAAAAGACAGTTGCAAAGGAGGATGCTTGGGAATGGAGATGAATAACACATGGTGGGCAGTGATGGCATTGTTGAGAGGACTGTGATTGGCAATGAAGCTAATGGACACATTGACAACAATGAGAAGCTGAAGAAGCAGGCAAATGTAGATGGGATAGCTGTGTTAGATAACCTTAGAACTTTGATCAGTATAGCATATGATATAGCAGGGTGTTGAGATGCATTATTTGTGTGTGTTTGATAGGTGTAGGTGTGCTTCTATTGATGGTGTCTATTGAGATCAACAAGTGAACTATGGTGCTGATCTGTACATTAAACAGTCCATGTAAAATCTAGCGATTGAATTGAAATGATGTGTTTGCAGCAATGCCAATGTTATTGTCATGTTTACCATTGCTACACATGCTTATTCATTCTGGATTAAGCTTTGTGAATACATGAATGCCAAATTCATCCAAGACTGAGCCAATACATGTAAGATGGGAATTTGAAACTGCTGGAATGCCAATTCATGTTGATGCATATCACCAACATAGTTGCTTCTGGTCCTAGACAGTTTGCTTCTGCATGGAGTAATGTTCCAATCCTTCTGCGCTAGTTTTCTAAAACTGCTAACTGACATCTTGGTATCAGCTCTGAATACCACCCTGTATTTGCTTGCCAGCCAAGTTGATGTGCATCTCTCCAAATATTCCACTCCCTCTGGCAATTGTGTTGCCCAACATAGGTCTTCACAAGGAAACACTTTACTCTATTGTCAAAAGATGCATATAAGTTCTATGGGCAGCCCTGTGAATAATGACTGCTCAATCTTCTCTTGTCATTCCTTGGCATCTTTATATCAACGTTGTGTTTAAGACTATACTCAGTAACTGCCTTCCTTAGAAACTCAACTATTGCAAATGTCTAGCCTATTCTGAATGATGGATTGCCCAAATCCTCTTCCCTAAGGCCTTGAACCTCTTGTTGTTTGGCTCTTCACCATCTGAATCTGGCAACTGAAGCCCTTCATCATATGTTGATAGGTCTTCATCATCGGCCATTTCTTCATGCTGAAACTTTTGTCCCTTTAGCCCATTGCCTGTTGCTTTCTTGCACTTGTACATTCTCATGCCCCTACTAGCTCCGTCGTCTAATACATCCACATCAACATTGTCAACAAATAGGTCATCATCCACATCATCTATCTCATAATTAGTATCAATAAAGTCTGAATCTTCTTCATCACTACCCTCAATGACAACAACTGGCCTTCTGACACCATGCTTCCTCTCTATAGGTCTGTCGTCACCTTTCTTTGAAATTGCTTCCTTACTTTCGTGCGCCGCCAGTGCGCTGACCATGCATGGCCATCGTCCTAACTATATATATCGCCATGCCATCTGTCAGGCACTGCGTGCACCCTCGGGTACCACAGATGGCAGTGGTCTGCTATGCGGAGAGTGCGGCGAGCATATACCCCTACGAGATGATGGCCAAGTGGGTGGCGCACCTGCTCGACGGCGACGTGCGCCTGCCCAACGTCATGGCCATGGAGGAGAGTGTGGCGGAGTGGGAGTGGTGGGGGCGGTGGGCCAAGCGCCGCAGCGGTGCTTTCTTCGTCAAGTCATGCATCGCGCGCTGTCACGACGTGGTACAGCGATCAGCTGTGCCGGGACATGGGGTGCAATCCCTGGAGGAAGCGGAGAGGGGTCCTCGCCGAATGGCTGCAGCTATACGGGCCCACGGACTATGCTGACATCCAGTGATCCAGTGAACCGAGGTGAGCCGGCCTGCCAGGTGATCATCAGTATCGTCCATGATTCTTCGTCCAGCGTGCATAATAACGAAGTTGCCATCCAAACTTATAATTCAAGTATTACTAGGAAATCTATTTGTGCTTTGCATCCTGACGTACAAATTGTTGCGCAGTTATTTCTATCAATTTGATCTAATAATAATGAGCTAGCTATCTTTGTTGGATTTATTTAATTGAGTTTAGTTTAATCTTATTTACTTAAATCAAATAAATTCTAAGTTCTGTAATAAATGTAAGGTACAATGAAGGACTAATCTCATATGGAAAATTAATTGGAGATTGATTCAGCTTAAATGAGTCGCTATTGTATGTACCTGTTGCGAGGTCAAAAAATAGAAAGCGAGCCACAAGTCCATATGTCGTGGCATAGACCGGAAAGCGAGCCACAAAGTCCACGTGTGGTGGCATGGGCTTGGGCGTAGGCAAACCAAGTGTACATGCAGGTTTTGTAGCTCCAAACTGACTAACGATGTGTTGGAGGAGTATCTACAATATATCGGACCTTGGATTATTGTCATGTGTATACGTTTGGCACTCGTGAAAGTGAGAAGAGTAGGAAGAAGGGACACACGGATAGCCATAGATCTATGTTTGCTGTTTGTCAATTGTCAAAGTGAGAAGAGTAGAAATGAGCGACACACAAATGGGATGGAGAGTGATGGACTAAGAAGGGTGATAGCGAGAGGACAAATGAAAAAAAATACTGCTTTTAATTTAATATTTATTTATATATTTATAGTTTAATCGATTGAATTCTTGCATTCTCCTATGACTAAATTTATTAATTCATGGTTGGGGCAACACTTATTTCACTGCTAGGTGTGACTGGGCCCCTTTGGACCTCCTTAAGATAAGGAAAATGAGATCCAAACAGGCAATTTCACTACTGGAGACGGCCTCAAAGGCCCATTAACCCTCGGCAAAGAGCTCTCGGGGAATTTTGAGTCGGCGAAGAGGGTCTTTGCCGAGGGCCCTTTATCGGGCACTCGGCAAAGCCTTTGCCGAGAGCTGAAGCGGCACTCGGCAAAGAAAAGCAGCCATCATGGCGCCGGCGCCTGGGACGGAGTCTTTGCCTAGGGCCGTCTCCGAGGGCCCTCGGCAAAGAAATTTTTTTTAAAAAAAATCTTTGCCGAGGGCCTCCAAGCATGGCCCTCGGCAAAGAAATGTGCAGAATTTTTCCAAAAAAATTTTGCCGAGGGCAATGGGACGGCCCTCGGCAAAGAATTATTCTTTTTTTAAAAAAAAAATCTCCCTCGGCAAAGATTTTTTTTTTAAAAAGTCTTTGCCGAGGGCCCCCAACCATGGCCCTCGGCAAAGAAATGTTGCAGAAATTTAATTTTTTTAAAAAATCTTTGCCGAGGGCAATGGGACTGCCGGCAAATGACCCTTTTTTGCCGAGGGCCTTGGTCATTGCCCTCGGCAAAGAGGTAGAAATTTATTTATTTTTTTGTTTTTTGCATTCCATCGACACAAGCATTTCATATATATATCACACATAACCCATTTTGTCACAATATATCACAACCATAATTGTGAACCACAAATGACAATATATTACAACGACAAGTCACATGTTCATCATCATTCACATGTTTATTACGACAAGTTCATGAAATCCAAGCACAAATCAGAACCATAAACCACAAATATTACAATAAAGTCTAACCACATCACTTAGCACTAGTCCTCATCAAGGTAGCCTATGAGATGGTGGTGAAGGAAAGGCGGGATCAGCCGGTGACGCACTATCGGGATGATTGGAACCCGCGGACAGAGGCTGCACAAAGGAGCAGAGATTGCAAGTGTGAGTAATCCGGAAAAATAGTTTTGGAACTTAGAGATTGCATCTAGTAATCTAGGAATACAAAAAGATTAGACTCAATTGAAAATTTCGGCAGCATCTCCCCTGCACGGGGAGGTTTTCAAAACCTACAAGAAACAACGACACGAACGCCGACATCCACAACGGCACGAACGCCGACATCCACAACAGCACGAAGGCCGACATACATGCAAAGCACAAGCGAAAAGTGAACTTT